AATAAAAATTTTAAAAATTTTAATAAATACAAAATAAATACATAATAAAACTTTAAAAATCTTTAATAAATATCAAAACATAAATGATTTTTTTTTAAAAAAATACGTAAATGATTTAACATTCTAATTTAAATAACATACTAACTTCGGGAATTGAGGAACCATGCACGGAGCATAAAAAATAAATATTTTAAACATAAATATGGGCCTTTTGAATCCATTATATTATTGTTTTCGATAAACAAAATTAATTAATATAATAACGATGCATAGACCTTAATCTTACTTAGCATTACCATGGAGTATTATCATTAATCACTAATTTGGATAAAAATATTTATTTTTATATTTTAATAATATTTTTTGTTTCTAAAAACTTAAATAACTCAGTAATAATTTTTTCCTTTTCAAAATAAGAAGTTTGAATTCAATTGAAAAAGTATGTATTTAAGATAAGATAAGAAATATGAGATAATTGTCTTTCGTTATACAACTAATAAAAATAATAATAATAATCTTTTTTTAATACTACAATCTGTTTTTAATAAAAGATTATTCTATCTACAATTCGTAAAAGATCTTAATTTAAACCTGAAGATATTATTTAATTTTATGTATAAGTTATTTAGTTTTAATATTGTCAACCAGTGATGTCCAATAAATGGGATATATACGGACATATTGAACTATATAATAAGTATATGAAGATTTATAGTTATCTAATAAGGAACCACCACTCTTATCGTAAAAGAGAATATTCAAGTTTGTGTTTCTTTTATATTAGACAAAAATCTGGTAGGTCAATTTAAATAAATATTTTAACTTAGTTTTAGAAAATAAAATTTTATCAAAATTTTATTTTTTAAATTGTTTTTTATTGTCTAAATATATTTAAGAGACACACATACAAATTTTAGATGACAGTTTTATAAAAATTCTAATTTGATTAGATTTTGTATGGAATATTAGTTGGTGGAGAACTATTATGTAAATATTGTTATTTGAAGGATCTCACATTTTATCTGTAATTTTTTGGATAAGATTGTTATCTACTGATGAGTTTTTGATTACAATCATAAATTGATTTAAATTCAATTTACTAAGAGATTAAGATCCCAAAAAGTGTCCCACGCAACATGCTATTTATAATTCTAGTCTAACTATACAAACTCCCTATATATAAGACCTATTGATTTGTCAATAGCCTATCTAAGTTTTTATAAGAAAAATAGAAATTAGTAGGAGGAGAAGTCATTACTTATTTAAGAGATAGAATTGAGATATCATGTGTGAACTTTTGAAGGATTTTGTATATAAAATCTTTGTGAGTTTTCCTAATTTTTACATGAACATATTTGTATCATGAGGACTAATAATTTGTTTATAATTCTTAATTTGATTAAATGTATTGTAAACCCTTCAATGACCCCAAGTTTTGCTGGTTTCTCCAATTCATCAGCTTGTAGGCAGAAATAAGTCCCCCTTTATCACTAAACTCTTCTGTGTTTTGTAACTCCAGGCTTCAGATTCCGAGCAGGCACCCAAGCGCAGAGGCTCAAACAACGATTTCCTTTGTAGGCAGAGCCCTGTTGCAGGATGGAAAATCACCAAATGTGGTTTGCATTCTGCCAGACCTCGCCTATAGGTCAAACAGACAATTATGATTCATGGTATCAACTCCAACACTTCAAGTTAATTAAGAAAGGTTTACATGAGGAATAAGGTTCTCTTTACCTCGGAGAGGAGATTTTAGAGCAGATATTCTCTGCAGGAGACCTGAGTTCCTGATTTCACACCAATTCCAGTTTAGGATCCCATACTACTCATTTAAACCTATAACCCCCACTCTCAGGTACTCCCAACCAGTGTCCAATATGCCCAGTCGAAGTCAAGCTCAGCTGCTACCCCCATGAAACAAGTCAAATACCTATTGTCATTCACATTGGTTCCTCTTTGATCTAACCCAAACTCACTCAAAAATGGTGGATACCCCTGCTGCAACAATAATTCGGTTGATCCCATCACCCTTTTTACCACATTCCCACAAACCTGGTTTGTTTCCCGGTTCCCCACACCCCTCCATCTGTAAAACTATATCAGTGCATCTCAAAAACCAATTTCTCAGTGTAGGTAAGGTTCACTGGTCGAGTTTCTAGGAATGACAAGTCTGAGTCAAAACTCAAGCCGGAGAGGATCACTCAGGACATTTGGGTTGGCTGAGTGCACCGTTTCAGCCCCTCCCTGCATGTACTTGTACCAGTCATTTACATTCTGTTTGGGGCCTCTGAGCTCATTTTTGAGGCTCATACCGACCACATTTGGAACACCGTTGAACAAGATGGCAATCCGGGTTAAGTCCCGGGTCCATATATCAGGGTTGAAGTACTGGTCGCCGAAGAATCCATTGCCGTCGAAGTTACTGCAGCACCAGCCGGGCTTGCTTATGTGATTGTCTAATATAACCATGATGTTGTTGTTACCAAGGCTGGACACCACTGCCTGAAATGATATCCCTTCATAAGCACTCTTAACAATCAGCATATCATTTCATAAAATATAACCAGAAAATTTTACTACCTTTTCAAGTTTAATATTTTTGCCCTTTTTCTTTTGGGATTGTTTTCACAATATTTTTATACCAGCAATGTTATGAATTCAATTTTTTTTTTTATAATAATACACATATTAATTTTCTCCTACATACAAATTTGTGTAGGATTGGAAACAATAACATTTTACAATGAATCCCTGCTTAAGTTTGTAATTCATTTTTATTAATGAAATTTGTTTTTTCCATAAAAAAAAATTATGGCTGTTTTTAAATAAAAAAAATCATAATTATAAAATGTTATTGTATTATAACATACGAACCATTATTAAAAGAAATTAGTCTATAAATTTGGATTCTTATATCTAACCATCATTAAAAAAAAAAAAATCTAACCTTTCAGTATTATAATTGAATCTTATATCTAACCTTTCAGTTTTAATATTCTATAATCACCATTAAAAAAATTGAAAATGAAGATTTAAAAATTATTAATTAATACATAAACTCACATATCATCTCGACGTATACGAAATTACTATTAAGATTTAAAACCCAATACCATCTGTGTTAACTCTACGTGGGCCCTCTGAACAACCTTACTTTCTTAAATAAAATTAATTATTTGTTTATCTTCAACTTTTCCGTAAAGTGGAAAAACTTTACCTGATAAGCGTGAATGAGGGAGACATCAATGGTGGAGGGGTTGTTGGATTGGATTCCGGCAATGGATTCTTGTAGGCCGAGGCTCTTAAACGACTGTCGAACGGTGAGGGACGCCAGGGAGTCATTGGTGGCGAGAAACAGCGCGCGGGCAAGTAAGGCGGACGCAGTTGAATCCCATGGATAGAATCTTCTTGGAGATCACGTCCAAGGGCTGCTTACTCAGCCCCTGCGCCAGCCCCTCTGCCACGATGGGTTCGAGGTGGGATACCCAATTGACACATGCTAGCTTGACACGCTGCCCGGTCTGGTCGTCGACAATCCACCGAGAATTGGTGGAAAGAGGGAGGCTATTGACTGGTATGGTATGGCGGGTGAGGAAGAGGAGGAGGAGGAGGAGGAGGAGAAGGCGGAGGAGAATGCAGAGAGGAGTGGTAGAGCTGAACCTCCCCATGCTGGGAGTCGGGTTTTTATCCTGTACCTTTAAGTGTTGTGAAGATGCAGGGGACTTGCTCATAGTCCCCTACATTTATAGAGACTACGTAGTAGTTAGGTAAATATGCAAATAAAATTAATTAAAACCCTTTAAAACTAAGCTGCCATAATAAAAACTTGGATAATGATTGGCTTACACTTCACTGTACCACACTCCCCGTTACATTTTTTATTTTTGGTTAACTTTCGTTAATTCCTACACTCTAGTAGTTATCATTATACTCTCACCGCACCAGTTCCCACCTTTTTTCCTTTTTTTTTTTTTCTCTTGGGTTCTCCAACAGAACCCACGTCTGGGAGAACCCAGTCTGGGTTCTCCACGAGCTAGAAAAATTTTAAAAAAAAAAAAAAGGAAAAAAGGAAGAAGGTGGAAACTTGGGAGAGTGTTAGCAATTGTCTTGCAGATGATTAGGATAAGGATGGAGGTGAGGAAAATGGATCTGGTGAGGACGGAAAGGGTTGGTTGAGTCGGGAGATAGCTGAAGAGGGGGTAACGTAGTTAAGTATAATTAATGAGAAAATAACAGAAATTGACGAAAATTGAATGGTGTACAGAATGTGGTATAATGGAGTGTGCATGCATCATTATCTTAAAAACTTACATATCTATTTATATTAATTTTTTATCTGTTAATATATAAAAAAATGTTGTGCACAAAGCCATTCCATCTAATCTAACATATAATATGTTGTAATTTGATATAATTTGAAATAAAACATTTAATTCAAAGTACATTACCAATATACTTTATGAAAAATCTAATAGAGAAAGGGAAGGATTGGTTGGGGACTTCATTAGTTTGGGAGGGAGAAGCCTTCAAATCTTCAATGCAAAAACATGTTTCAGTTTGTAAATTAATTTAGGTCTCTTTGACTTATTTTCTTATAATTTGGTATGAGATTCAAGTTTTTTACGGTAGACTACTCACTAAAAGTATGATTTGTTCTATAAATTTACTTAAATATTTTTAATAAAATAATATAAAAAATAATTTTATTAAGAGTATTTAAGAAAATTCATAGAGTGAAGTACATTTTTTATGTATAATTCGCCTTTGTAAAATACTATTTTGATTTAATATATGTAGTTTTTTTTTATCAAAAGATTAGTTATTTAGTATTATAAATATTTGAATTTGTGACTTTAACTTCAAATTAAAATTTTAAAATTAGTAAATATCAACTCAACTAAGGTTTTGTTGGAGTGTATCAATTTTTTTTTTTTGATTGGGACTATTCGATATTCGGAAACCCATTAGACCACTCGGTATTTGGAAGTCCACTGGATCACC